TTTTCTCATTCGCCATTTCAACCAACCTAAAGTATCAAAAAGGAGGGAGAGGTGAATTTTTTTTTGTAATTAATTTTAGATCATTTTAGCAATTTTAAATTTTGGTATTGATTTCAGGTTTAGGATTTTAGAATTAGCAATATAATAAAAGATAAAATCTTTTAATAAATTTTAACATCTAACTCTAGTAAAAAAAAGTCTTATTAGATTTGTTATTATTATTTTATTTTTTTTTTGATTTAAATGAAAGTTTTTTTTTGATATTAAAATATTTTATAAATAATATTTATACTTACTATATAAAAAATAATAATTACTTTTAGTTATATTTTAATTGAAGTAATTATAAATATATAAATATTTAATTATCTTTATATTTAATATATGAACTTACTTTAATTATATTATTTGTTAATTATTAATTATTATTTTACTAAATTATATCATATTTATTTAATAATTAATTAAAAATTATATTGTTAAATAATATAACTTTTATTTAATAATTAGATTTTAATAAAATACTATCATTAGAATTATCTTATTAAAAGTTTTCTAACAAATTTAAGCCTAATCTTATTAGAATAAGATATTTTAAAAAGAATAATTATAGATAATTCTATAGATTATTATTGAATAAAGTTATAATTACTTAATTATAATCTAATAGTGTTCTGCATGAATTCAGATCGATCTGAATCCAATCTGAATTTAACAGATCAGATTCAGATCAGATCTGTTAGATTCGAATCTAATTCAGATTCAGATTCAAATCATATCAGATCTGTCGGATTCAGATTCAGATTCAGATTTGAATCTGATCTGTCAGATCTAAATGTTTTTTAAATAACAATTATAAAGTTATATTAATTTAAATCATCATGTTGCTTATTTTTGGATATAATACTATTTTTGAGGTTGCTTATTTTCAGAGAAATATGATAATAGAAATAGATCAAAAGTTTTATATAAATAGAATAAAAAATTTTATATAATTTTAATGATAAATTAGTAATAAACAAGTTAATTAACTTTATAGTTAAATTTTAAATCAGTTTAAATTTTGAATTAATTAATTATTTTTTTATAAATGCAAATACTCAATAATATGATATTTTAAAATCTTATATTCTTATAAAGATTTATCATATCAGATTCCTTTAGAATTTTTAATATTTTAACTTATATAATTGCATAAGAAATACCTAATTCCTGTTTTTTTGTTTTATAATCCAATTATACAATTTTTTTTAGAAAAAAACAGTTTCATCTAAAACTAATTCACTTGTTACTTTAACATCTTAACTTTACTTACTTTTATCTAACACTAAGCATGTTATTATTAAGGTTAAAGTTTCTTGCTACTTTATTTCTTTTATTTTTCTTAGCGTAAATAATAATGTCTTTTTTGTTCAATTAAATATAAATGCAGCTATACTTGATAGTTTTTCTAATAACTTTTTTTATTTAATAGCTTTTTTAATTATGTGACATTATATGAATTATTATTTTAAAATATATTTAAAATAAGCTTCATATTTAGTATTAATTGATAAATTTATATTATATCATGAAAATTCTATTAATGATCATTTGATATTAAAATTATCTTATATTGATTAAATTTCACATTTATTTGAATTTTAATTTAAAATTCATTTAGTTAATTAAGTAAAATTATCTAAAATCAAGTACTTTATAGTAAAAAATGGATACTTAATTTCAAAACCATACGATAATTATAAAAATTATATAATGTAACTATAAAGAGAATGTTTAACACTAAATTAATAATACTAAAACTAATATTATAGATTCTAATTTAAAAAATATATATATATATTTTTGAGTATTTTAAATTTTAAATAATATAGATATTATATAATATTTATTTTTTGTTTAAAATATTTTTTTTGTTTTGTTTAATTTTAATTTTTTTTTTTTTTAAAATTTGAGAATTATAATAGGTGTTTTTTTTTTTTTTTTTTTTTTTTTTTTTTAGGTATTATACTAAACTTTTGTTCAAAACAAAAAAAAAAAGCGAAAATTATAATCCTCCTCTTGATCAACAAATTTTCTCTCTTTTTTTTGGTTTCCACTTTATTTTTTATTTTAATTTTTTTTTTTTAGCTTAAATTTTTTTTTAAAAATATTTATCTTACAAATTAAAAAGGTTGTCACCAAAAAAAGATGCAACGTGAAAAGGTGTCATAAGAAAAGCTATAAGAAGCTATAATTTTAAAGTCGAAAAAAAAGAATTTGAAGAGATAGACCATGTCAGGGTAATAAAAACAAGTGTTCGGTCGAATCCTTAAACATACTACTTGTGTGTAAAAAAAGACACTTCCCATGTATTAAATAATAAATGATCAAGCTAAATAAAAAAAAAATCCGAAATTTAAAGAAATGGTAAAAATCAAAAAAAGAATTAATTGAATTGAATTCGAATAATGCGTCATTAGAGATTAAAAAAAAAAAAAAATTTGAACTAAAATTTACGTTTATATAATTTTTAGCAGATGTAAAAAGAAAAAGAAAAATTAGATAAAAAATTCGAAAAATAAAAAAAAGGACCTTGTTTTTTTTTTTAAAAAAAAAAAAAAAAATGAAAATAATAATAAAAAAATTTACAAATGGAATGATGAATTAATCATCCATAAAAAAAAAAACCTAATAAAAAATGTCTAAATAAATCTATTTTTTGTTGTATATACGTGTATTCACAATATTATACGTTATAGTTATATTTTCTATATTTTATTCAACCCATTGCTTAAAGAATCAAAAAAAAAAGGAAAGAAAAAAAAATGTTCGAAAATAAAATATTTCCGTCATGAATTAAAAAAAAATCACATTTTTTTTTTTCTTATGACTATAAAATCCTCTACGCAACAATAAATATCTCTATATTTGGAATCAATCTTCAAACATGTCAATCATATCAATTCTTGCTCGCTTAGCGTGAGGAGAATCTCTTTCTATGTCCGAAACACCAGGAGTTGACATTATCGAGCCATTGATATTATTATCAAGTGAAGATGACGATGAGCTCATGCTCATGTTTGAAGAATTCGCTGCCGATAAAACCGCTTGCTCTTGCTGTTGCAGTTTCTGTTGTTGTTGCAGTTGTTGTTTTTGTTTCATTTGTTGTTGTTCGGCTTGTTGCATAGCAGATAAAGCACGCTTCCTCGTTATCTTTGCAAAATCTTTAAAAAGAGGATGGAATAAATGATTAGATTTTAGGGGAAGAAAAGAATAGAAAGGGATGTAATATATGATGATACTTACGAAGACCACAAGCGTTACATAGCGTTCTTGCACCATCGGGACCACGACGCCACTCAGGAGTTTCAGATATATTACAGGAATGACATCTTCCAGGAGGCGCTGCACGCTTCTGGTTAAGAAGGAATCAATGCGATTAATAACTTGATTCATCACCGAGACGAACCGAGAGTTACTTTAGTTAATTATGATTACTTACACTTCGTTTCCTGTATTTTGTCCGTGTAGATGTGGAAATACTCGTTCTCTGCTTACGAATCAAATCAATTTCATCTTGACTTGTCTAAATAAGAATAACGTTTAGTCACTTGACACCACCGAAATAAAGGGTCATCTCTAAAAAAAGATGCTTACCTCGGCATGAAATCTTGCAGATACTTCACTCTTTAGACCAGACAAGACATTTAATACATCATAAGCCTTATTTATCATATCTGTCAGATGGGACTCGTTCAGTTGAAGAACGATACCATTCCAAGGATTATGATTAATTTTCATGTCACGATATTGCGAAGCAAATTGAGCGATTTGGTTACAATTGTCTATAACCTTCCCTATTTTAACAAGGGATTGTTCTGTGGTTTGTTGGATATAAGGTGAATCTTCATCTCTGGGGATATTATTCCCCGTAGATGTATATGAAGTAGAAGTAGCATATGGAGGGGGATAATCTGAAGTTGAGGAAGTGGTAACGGACGAATGAGAATAATTACTAGTGAATCGTTGCTGTTGTGATTGTGAAGCGTATTGATACTGTGTCGGTGGAGAATGTTGATGTTGATAGTATGATGAAGAAGGAGGAGGAGGTGGTTGTTGTGGTTGTTGTTGTCTTGACCACATTGAGCTAGTAGTGTCACAACGTGGTGGCGGTAATGAATATGAAGGGGAAGAACTGAAACTCGACCTACGCGCCAGGGGTGGTTTTTGATAATTTAATTGCGAAGGAGGGCTTGGCGGAGTAGACGATCGTTGTTGATATGAAGAATTTTGAAGGTTGACAATAGAAGCAGACGATGTATTATGAAGCGGTTTTGGCATTATTGCTGGCGGATTAGAACTAATCTCATGCAGGGAAGGTACAGGAGACCGTAAAATAGAAGTTAAGGAAGGGAGTGGGTGTCCCTTTTTCTCATTCGCCATTTCAACCAACCTAAAGTATCAAAAAGGAGGGAGAGGTGAATTTTTTTTTGTAATTAATTTTCTTTCATTTTTGCATTTTTTTTTTTTTTTTTAATTAAAAACAGTTATCTATGCGCATTCATACATACGGTGGAGAAGGCAAACTTTGAGCATGAGATGTTGAAGGAGCAAATACCGAAGTTTTCCTCGGGATAGATTGGTTTGGAGACGACGAACACATTGAAAGAACGTCCATTTTTTTTTTTTTCAAGTTGACTTTTTTGACGAGGAAAAGTTAAGATATATATAATTAACTAATTTTAAAAGGTTTTTATTTTTAATAATTTTATTTTCTCGTATATATTTACCTTCTTTTTAAATGTGGATAAATTTTTTTTTCGTTTTTTTTTTTTTTTTTTTTTTTTTTTTTTTTTTTTTTTTAAAAAAAAAAAAAAAAAGAGAAAAACTTTTTTTGTTTATAAGGAATATATAAAAGTAGTGAAAGGAGTTTTCAAAATTAAAAACAAAATTTTTTTTTTTCGGTTTGATGGGAAAAAAAGAAAAAAAAAAAGAGAAAAAGGAAGTGGGGAAAAAGAGGTTTGAATATATGTAAAATAATGTAAAAATACAATTTGAGGCAATTGTGCAAGTTTAGTGGATAAACACGCGATTTTTATTGATTTCTGTGAGATCAAATAATTGATTTTAGATAGTATTTAGATTGAGTTTTGGCTGTTGTCATGCAAAGCAAATCCTAATTTAAAGAGAAAAAAAAAAAAAAAAAAAGAGAGGCATTTTTGCTAATATAAAATATGATAAGTTCTAGACTCAGAAGTACGTGCGGGTACACACAAATATGTATAAATGTAACCATGATTATGTGATGATTCGAATATTTCTGGTAATAATTTATTAATATGGTCAAAGGGTAATAATTGTCATATCAAGATCAAGATCTGGTGATGCCCGATTATTTAAAACTGAGCAATGGATCTTCAAAAGTATATCAGAGGAACAGGAGTGGAAAGTATTTGTTATTGCTTGAATCATTTAATACCACGTAGTTAAACTTTCTTCCCCCATCTTTTATAGTAATGTTCATACATACTGTCGATCTACATGCTAATATTTCACCACATTTTTTATATTCTATCATTTTTCTTCATTTTATTCTAAAAATAGTTTAGTTCTTTTTGTTTTTGATTTATTAAATTGAAACACACCTGTCAAAAATGGTAATCTAATCTTCTGTTGAGCGAAAATAACTCGTGATCTACCAAACTGCTACTACACTTGGCATTTAATGATCATCCATCATGCATAATTTTAACCTTTGACCCAACGATTTATAAAAAGTTACTTATTGTAAAAATTTATGGCGGAATCTTAATTCCTTATTGTCATTATATCATTGTGCTTTTTTTAAAAAAATATGTAAGGTTACGATTAGTTTCGATTTCGCTTGCCCACTTTTTGAAAGGTAAAAAATAACAAAAATTCTCTCTTATCATCCATTTTTGGTAATGGAGTGCGATAAACAGAACGTTTAAAAAAGCTTTTTCTTTCAATTTCTTTTTTGCCTTTTTGACTATCGATTATAATGATTGAAAAGGCTTATGTCTTCAATGACATAATGACCGAGAACAAGGGAATACATTCCTTAACACAAATGTTTACAATGCTCATAATCGTCAGGTTCATTGTTCTCCTTGTTTTATCATCAACCTTAAAAATGGTTTGCAAATTTATTTTTTTATTTTTCGAAATTATAATTATCTCTCGGAGTGCCCAAAGAAAATTTGTTACAGACCATTACCATATTAGTTAATCTAAAACAATCATGTGAGGAAGCACGTAATATTATCGGATGTAACACCTTAATCTTCCCAGAAGAACAGATATTTTAAGGGATTATTAATCGGTAACACAATCTTGTACCCAATCTACTGTTCTATCAATTAAGTTTATCGGTATCGGCTGTTGAACAAACACCTTTTATTAATGGTTTTTCAAAAAATATCATCATCTTTCGCTTTTTTAGGTTACTCCATGGTTCAAAAGGTTACGTTTGAATGCATTAGACCAAAAAGGTGAGCAAACTGAGCTTTGGTGTAACCTTGTGATTCGTATTGATCTCTAACAAGAATTATTAAAGTTAATTAACAATATTAAAAGGTTATTGTATTATCATCTCACCAAATTACAGTCGGTAATGAGAACATTTAGTGTCAATAAATAACGTAATTATGCTTATCAAAAGAATGTATGATGAAATTTCATTCGTGGACCTCAAAATTGCGTTTACCCAAATTAGTAAATTTTTTCTTTTATCTGCTAAATTTTCATGAATTGTAATGTATTGGATGCGATAAGACCACTTCTGATAAGGGCACGATTTACCTTAATTGGCATCTCCTTTCGGTTAGTGTGCAAATTTATTTTTTTTATTATTTTTCGATTTTTTGAAAATCGTTGGTTAAGTGACGTCGTCGTTAAAAACGAACCGGGAACGTCGGGTCTTATCGAACGCGTGATGATTCCCATTAAAAAAAAGGAAGGGTAGGATATGATAAAACGTTTAAAATTAAAAATTACATTTTAAAAGGACGACAGTTTTTTTTGAAATTCAATGTTTGTTGTAACTTTCGTAACGTCCCAAGAAAAAGCTTTCCCTCCCCCCGCCCCTTGTAACGATAAATAAACGCTGATTTTAATTAATGTTCAACATGTAAAGATGAGTAGTATCAAGTGGCGTTTCTCATTCCGTAAATGGAAATTCTACCAGCTTCTATGTTTGCATTAGATTGTGTCCAAGTTCTCTTATCGAATCTTTTAACGCACTAAATAAAGTTTATCTTTTATCGTACATCTAAATAAATTTCGATGGGTGAACCAGAAATCAAGGAAAATCAAACAAATTCGGTCGGACGGTCTAATGCTATCTTCTAAAAAAAGAAATTGATGGGATTTTCCAAATTTCTCTCGATTTTCTCACGCGTTATGCGCAAAAAAAATGCGGAATTTTCGATGGAAACCACTCCTTGCAAATAAATATTCGGTGACACCGTACCGTATGATCCGATAATGTGCCTGATCAATTAATTAAAATTTTTTCACGTAAAACCTTCGGAGTGGATTGTTAACAAATTAATGTTAGGCGCTCATCGTATGCACATAAATTTAAATGATTTGGGGTGCATTTCAAAAGGATCTAGACGAGATGCACAAGGAAGGGTGGAAACTTATCTTTGTTTGTTTTTGTTTATTATTTTATTTTACACAAGATGTATTGCAAATTTAATGTTAGTATTATCGTGTGTACATAACGTCGTTTTCATTCAGGCAGAAGGGATCTTAACAAGAAACAAAATAAATTAGCGTTGATTGTCTCACCAATCAAAATCAACAATTTATTTTTAATCGTCCTCATCTGTTATAAATCGTACACACAAATTAAATAACAAAGGGAAATAATATATATATATATATATAAAAAGTAAAACAGATACAACATCACGCACATCATAGGTTCATAAACCCGGAAAATTTTTAATGAATTCATAGATTAATTAATTAAGCGTTATAGCGTAAACAAATAGTCGTATCAAATAAAAACAGACATGACCGATTTGATTCGTGTTGAGAGATTTGACATGATGATTACCGTGCTTCGAGGACTTGTACCTTTTTTTTTTTTAACGGGAACAACGGTAAATTGACTGATTATAATTCCTACCAAAAAGATTGTGATCGTGATACCAATAAAATTAAATAATTCATCGTTAAAAATTGTTGGTAATTTTTTTTTTTTTTGTTTACTTCGAATTGCTTGGCGCAGCATTATTTACGGTGGGACCGCATTCGAGATGGTGCCACCAAGGAATTAATAATTCTTTTGACAAATCAGGGAGCAGATATCATTTGATCATTTGTAATGCGTGATAAATTCGTAGTGATTTGATCAAGTATTTCATTCATGCTTGCCTGATTTGAAATCTCGAAACGATTGGACATCAACGACATTAAGGTTTTGATTATCATACGTCAAAACCTTGAGCTGTTGATGCATGTGGTAAGAAAAAAGAAAAAAAATTAAAAAATTTTTTTTTTTTTTCCTCAAAGGTAACAACAAAGGGCGAAGTGACGATTTTTTTCAATTGCATCCATAAATCTCTATTTGGATTTTAAGTTTTCGTTGTTTTTTTAATTTTTCTTTATTGATCATATTTGTTGTGTATAAATTTCCTTTAATGAATGTTGTGTAAGATTCCATTTATTTTGCTTTTTAATTGACAATTAGATAAGGGTGTAGTAAGAAAGAATAAAATTGTTTCGATTGTGTGAATCATGCTTAGCAATGTCAAAAAAAAAAAAAAAAAAATTAGCCCTCGTGAAAGGAATTAGGAAGATCTTATTTTGGGGTTGATCACGTGATAACAATACGATTGAATGGGCGTTTTGTTCAATTACGATATATGATGTGATGATTTATGCATGGGATATAAGAAGCCGTTCGGCAGAATTCTCGAAAATTCAGAAATCACGATCGCGTGCGCTTTGAAAAAAAAAAAAAAATATGCAAAACATCTTAACTTTAAATGGCATACATGCACATTCTTATTACAAAATCTGTTTATGAATACAAATGACAATTACCTGTCACTTGATTTTCTTGTTTTGGTTCGATATGTCATAATATGATCCTTTAATCGCATTGTTTTCGTTTCATATGACTCCTTTCGTTTTTTTTTTTTTTTTTTTTTTTTTTTTTTTTTCTCTCTCTCAAAAAGATCGCGTGGTTCGATAATGTAAGGGTTCCCATTAACCAACTTATTCAAGATAAGAACCATCCGATTTCGCCGTAAATTTTTTTTTTTTTTTGACAATTCCAATTACATCAATTGACAGCTATTCTATCATGATTTAAGATTAAAACAAATAAAAGTGAATGAAATCTTAAAAAAAAAAAAAAAAAATACCTGTTCTTGACATGTGTAATTGTTCTTTTAATCGTCGATCATTCACCCTTAGCATGGTTTCAATGAATAATTTCTTTTTTTTTTTATATTATCTTTTTTCCCTCACACATTAAAAACATATGAAATCTGATATTTGCACCCGATTTTTATCACGATTGTATCGAGGATGATAATGGTGATATCGATAAGAAGAACAAAGACCCATGATATTGGTCTAACGATAAAAAGTATTTAATAACAAATATAATTTAGGCTAATAAGCACGCGTTTTAGAACC